TTTGTAACAGAAATTAACACAATTATGACAACATTTGGTACGACATTTTTTACTTGGGTCTATGCACGTACAGTACTTAATTATCGAAATTTAACATTCCTTCTTGGTGCTGGACTTTGTATTATTCCGACAATTTTAAATTTGTATGTATTTGATTGATATCTAAGCAAAAAAAACACAATGACTATTTGGTGAAACACGATTTAAGAGTAGTGTTAAAATAAAAACACTGTTAAATTCACACCATTAGATGGAATTCATCAGATTTATCATGATCTTGACTGTGAGACTTATCGATGCTGAAGTCGAAGATCCAATTTCCAGGCAGTTCAACTAAAATGACTATGAGAAAAATTTCACGAAAATTTAATGCAGCAACTTGAGAAATCCATGTAGAAAATTGATATTAACCCTTAAAAGCCGAGCATAGTCTTTTTTTTTGATGATGATAAAAAATAGAGATTCTGAATACTCAGTAGGATCATATTACAATTAGAAAGAAAAAAGAACTTTTTTCTTATAGAGATACAGAATATCTTTTAGAAGGAACATTCGGTCTTAATGATATGAATCTAACATTTTTCTTAATTTATGTGAGAAAATTTGTTTTGCGAATTATCACTAAACAAGGTCTTTAGAGTAAAAACTGAGTTTAAAAGAAATTATAGAATTAAAAAACTCTGCTGTACCGTCTGATAATCCCGTACGAAGCATTTTGGTTTTTACTTTATGATTTGTAACATCATGTTAGTCTAAGAATACACTTTTTTGCATATAAAGTTTTATGAAATGAATAATAGCAACTATTGCAATTTTCTTTGAAAGAAATATTTAGATTTTTTAATGGTCAATATTAAATGAAGCGTATATCTTTAGAGTTGGATTGCGTCTGAAAAGATAATGAAAACAACTAACTGATAAGACTAGTCATCAAATCTAATATTCAAGCTACTCAATAAAGCATATCCGAATAGTTAACAGTAACAAGATGAATGACATGATCCAACTTAACCACACATATATACATTTCATCTCTGTATATTGTGCATAATAACATGAATATTCTAAAAATTAGAATCTACCGTGACAGATACTTTGTCAACATCTTCACCACGCAACAAACATTGATATATGATCACATATTGTATATGAGTAACATCTCGTTATTATATACCAACTACTTCCTTATTGCATCTCTAGAGAATTAAGTAAAAGGATGATGAAGAAATGTAACTTAAAATAAATTAAATAAAACAATCTTCATGTAATTAGTAACAGGAGTTACATCATGTTTCATATTTTAATGTCATATGGATTGCCTCTAACAGCATCTTTTTTGTATAGATGCCTTGCTCTGATAACACGAAAAATATCGGAAGAAGATTTACCACCATTATCTGAAACAGATGTCGAACCAGCACCATTACGTTTACCGAATAATGGACCACCACATGCAGGTGATGCGACTTGTATTGTTATTCCATCTCGATCATTAACTTCGTCTCTACGTACACCAAATGTTGAAAGATCTCGAAGTAATTCGATTGATGATAATGAAAGTGAAGACGTATTAAATTCGTCAAGTAATGATTTGATTACTCTTTAACCTCATTTTTAATATGAACATGTTTATTTTTCCATTTTTGTTTTTTTTTTTTTGTAAATAGATATTTAAAAGTCAGAACTAGAAATGTTTTTGTTTCTTTTTGTATTCCAGTGAAAAATAAAATGATAGACAGTTGAGAAAAAAACAAATATTACGATCACTGTCAATATCACGTGTATCAAAATACTTAATTGATTCGATTACCTGTTTTTACAGAATTTTTAATTCAATCACCATTATGTCTTAACATGTGAAAACTTAGTTATTTCAGTCTTTCCATTGTTTAGTTTTCTAAAATAGTCATTGCTTTGAATATTCGTATTGATGAATATTTCTTTTGTTATGAAAAATCTCATTCGCCAACAGAATCAATATCATTAATCTTTGTGTTTATTGATAAAGAAAAGCATTAGTTTTACTGTGTTATTTAGTAGAATATTAATAAGATACTGCGTCCTGTAATCCTTTGATCTTATTGCTTTCTTCTTGATTGATGACAATATTACTGACAAGAGAAGATTCCCAAGTGAGAAATCTTTTTTAGGCTGAAACTCTATTCCATCGATAGGGTCCAGTGAGTAAGGAAATACCTTAGAGTGATTTGAATTTCTGTATGTTCGTTGATAAAATATCAAATAATAGAAAATTAGACAGTGGTGGCGATAAATTATCAGTTTCGGATATCGTTATCAATGTCGGCATACCCATATGAACTGGTAATGATAGTAGAGGACTAGCTGATGATGTAGCAATTTGTTCGTTTCATTAGAGGATATTGTGTAGGACTACGATTCGGTTCAAATTGTGATAATAATGGTGAAGTTCGTCAAGTAATCGTTGGTGAATGAATATTTAAATTTGGTGATGGCTGGATATTATATCTATTTGATGGTGACTCTGGTGTAGCTGCGCTATTAGAATTCATTGTCCACGAAAATGAATAAGATCTTGTAGACTACGATATTGTTGTTTTCCGGTTGATTCTCGAATAAGTCGAGTTTGAGATGATGCTGAGGTTGAAGAATAAACAGATTCTTATTGATACAGTTTAAATCTTCTCTGAATATGAAAATATTATAGAAACTTTTCTCTACCTAATACCGGTAATCGAAATCGTCCGTGTTTGCCAGATCGATGTGCATGATGAACATGAAAAAAGTTTCATTGAATCTCGACCATCATTTCTAAAAAATCAAATGATTTGGTTTAATTTTTTTAAATTCAGCACACACTAATCGATAAGTATTAAATAACTGAAGAGCTGATGTTGGCTCAGCCTGTTCATAAAGTAAACGAAATGACGATGGCATCGCAGCACGATTATTTAAGTCTTGAATAGTTACTAAAATGAAAAAAAAACAAGAAAGTGCTTTAATAATAAATAAAAGATTCATCTTTTTCATTATTTGAATCTAACTGTGTTACTTCTATACGTTGAAATATATATCCAGAATCTGTTATTAACTTATCAAATAAATCTTGTGCGTCAGCAATTAATTATCGAATTACATTTGCATAACTGTTCATGTGCTAAATGGCATTTGATTCACTTATTATAATGACAATATTATAGTTCATAAGATATATATCAATATAAAGTGGACATTTCATTGTTCATGTTTGTTCGTCTCTATCGAACAAGTCTTGATTTTTATTTGTTAGCCAATAACAAATAGATATGAAGTGATCATAGGTGATGTTATGTTCGCCTTGCTTATGTCTCAAGTGAAAGTAAATTACCTAAAATACTTGTGAGTCCGAAAAAGTACTAGATTTTGTAATTCCCAAGAATAAAAAAAAATACTCTAATGGTATTCTGCAAAGTAAATAAAAGTACTTTGCTTATTGGTTACAGAAATACTACATAAATGTTCCAATTACTTTCTTTTATCTATCTGTTTTAAGTCGAGACGAAGATACGTCTTGGTTTTAATTTTATGAAACTTTTCTTTTTCTTCTTTTCTTATTCATACTATTTTGAATCGTTCTTTGCGAACGTTTAAGCTAAGAATTTCAATCGAAACAACTAGTCTTATATAATCTATATTAAGTTCTATTTAGCTTTAATTCAAGGCTAGTTAAATCTAGGACGTTGTAGAGTTCGCCACTGTTTTATATTGACGTTTAGCTTCTCTTTACTAGCTTCGGCCAAAAAAAACTAATGAGACTTTTAACTTATGCTTTTTGCATAGTATTTTCTATCACTGTTTATTTATTTTTGAATTTTACGTAGTTCATAGATGATTTCTAAAGTCTAAATATGTAATGTTGTTAAGTTTGGTTGAATTATTTTCCAATCTCTCAAAACAAATGATAAATGTTTTAGCTTATATATATATAAAATATTTTCGAAGAAGTCGTTGGTATTTACATCATAGCATGAATCAGTGTAGATGAATATTCTGTCTAATAAAATAAGTAGGTACTCGCTATGTTTTCTTAATGCAAACGAACATTAGAACTTATTTTGAGTTAAAAGAAAATTATTTCGTAAATTTTTGCTCAACTAAAAATAAATACAAACTAGCGAGGGAACATTTTTCAACTAATAAATCGCTATTGAATTCACACTTCGTGCATAAGGTAAATTCTGGTGAGAAACAATAAACCTGAAAAGGATAAGTGCTTTTAGGCCCTCTATTAGGAATTATAACAATTTTATTTGAATTTTAGCTTAGGGCATGCTAAATGCGAACAAATCGAATCACAATATTTCGACCTGAGATTTTGTCTATAAATAAGTCTGTTTGTCAGTAGAATGCTCGGAAAATTTCAGCTCAAAACAATGTTTTCTTCCAAGGTTATTGAAGACTCCCAAATTACTCATTTTTCACCGAAGATTCTAGAATTGTCTGTTTTGTGAGACTTCAATAACTGACAAAGAAAATTTTCTTTTGAGCTGAAATTTTCAGGCCATTCATATATCTCTGAACTCTACCTTATGCATTGAATTTAAATTCACAAGCAATTTATTAGTTGAAAACATTATCTCGTAAGATTAACTTCGCCTGTGACGCATACACTTTGTTTTTATATTGTTTTTTGCACATGAAAATATTTTTCATAACAAAATACGAATAGTAATAAACTTGTTTTTATATAGAGATCAGTTATTTGGTATAATTCTTTGAGATATTTTATTATTTAGAATAAAGTATCAGCAAATAATATTGCAAAGGAAATACGAGGTACGTATTTGTACCTTGCTTCAGGTTTTTAATGGAAACCTTGTTCATACTTGGAACAGGTCGAGATTCTTTTAACCGAACGAGTCCAATTCTAATTATAACCCTACTTGTGACAGATTCACATTGATATGCTACTGTCAGATTGATATTTCTTCATCTATCGAGAGTTTCTCTTGTTTTTTTTAGAAACAAATGTTTCTTTTAAGATGATACAACGTCTTCGTTTCTATCAGATACCATGGTCTCATTACTGTGACAAAGTTCGTTGGGCGTTGGATTTGAAAGAAATTCCTTATAAACTGATCAATTATGATCCGTTCGGAAAAACGAAAGGTTTAGAACGAGCACCCAAAACAATGCCTAAGCTAATGCCGATGCTTGAAGATCCAAATAATAAAGATGATAATCAATTTCAATATGATTCAACACCAATTTTAGTCTATTTAGACACTCAATATCCTCGATCGTCTGTTTCTCTTTTCCCATCATCAAGTGAACAACGTGAACAAATGATTGATACATGTTTACGTCTTGATTCGTCATTAGGTCTTTATGTACGTCGTATTGCTTATGTTCAAATACTCAAAGAAAGTCCACATATATTGTCACTTGTACTTCGTGAAAAGTATTCATGGGCAAATAATCCAGATGATATTCACTCACATTTAATTAGTCCATTCATCGCTTGTTTTATAATTGCTCGATAGCGAGTACATCGTATCCGTGAAGAACAAGTAAGAGAAAAAACAGAAGAAATTCTTTTGGAGATTGGAAATCATTTACGTACGAATGATTATCTTGTTGGTAATCAATTTTCGGCATCTGATTTAACATTTTGTTCACTTGTAAAATTATTAATCCGAGTACCCTGTTTCTATGATGATCGTCGCTTTCAAATTATTTTTGATTATCATGAACGAATTCGACGAAACTACGATCCAAAATATCTGAATATTGATAATGATCTCGAGAAAAATATAGATAAACATCGAATACAAATTAAAAAAAATGAAAAAAATTTAACTACTCGTCTTAAAACATTTATTCATCAAATCAATATTGTACAACGAATTTTTATTATGATTATGACCATGATTGTTAAAAATACTTATGAACCAAAAACGGATGATGATATACCTCAATTCAAAACATCATCATCACAGGACAAACAAGAAAAACAAGCGATCAACGATCCATGACGGATCAATTACAAGTCCACTTGGTCTATGATCAAGTTCTTCTTCAAGTATCACTGCCATCGATTATTTACTATTCCAAGCCAAGCAGCCTATTTAGATAAAAAGAAATAGTTGTTATCCTTATTAAATATGCTAATGATTCAATGATATCCTCAGAAGATTTTTTTAATCACTAAGAAAAGCATCGAACAGCTGGTAAAAAAAGATTTTCTATTCTTTTTGTTTATGTTATCTTCTTTCTAATTGAGTTATTTTGATGTTATAAATAAAACTGGTCCTGACTCAAGAAAAATAAATTTTTCGATAACTTGTTGAAAGTTAACTTTCTGTTAGGACGTGTGTAGGTGTGGCTGTGGCGTGGGTGTGGAGTATAGGCATGAGTGTGGATGTTGATCAAGAGAAGACTAACACCCACACTCGACCATAGAGCGATATCTAGAGTTGGAGGTGGGAGTATTTGGTAGGATAACTCTATGTGTACCTATCCTGAAATTTTTATGATTCTATGTCACCTCAAACAAAAAAGATATGCTTCCCAGTGGACACCAGTCAGTGTTCGACTCGAGTCGGGTCAGATATGTATTTTTCAGAAATAAAAATCATGTTAATTTTTTGTTCATAAGTTCTGTCATATCACAACAAACAATTAGATACAATAAAGCAACATGTATAATATCATCTTTTGTGTTATTTCATTATTTTCCATTCATTGATATCTTACGAGCATTTATAGTAAGTATATAATATATTATCTAGTGATGTGATAGTCTTAAATTCCGTACATGATATAAATGAATGCAGAAAAACACTGAAGTATTATCAGATGATATTGTTGCCCTAACTACCCAAAATCAGTCGTACATTAAAACCGAGAAAAGGTCAAGGACATGTTCTTATGTTTTTAAATGCGCAATAAAATAAAAACAAAGGAACTGACAAATTGAATTTCTCAAAAGAAAGAAAAGTGATCGACTGATATATATACGGATACATATTATAGGAGAAAAAAAAGAATTTTAAGCACAGCTGATATGTACATATATATGCTACTAGAAAGGAAAGAAAGAAGATCGAATACATTTTTCAACCATGATGATACTCGTAAAATGACAGAATCGAAAAAAATTGTTAGAGAACTATCAAAGAGACAATATTAAAGTACTATAAGAAAAAAATAGAGCTAAATAGAAATAAGGTATAAATAAATATCGATGCATACATCCATTTCAAACTCTTTTTATCACTCCTGATAATATTGAATTCGTTTTGTGCGTTTACTTTATACTTGTTACTCGTATTGCTTCAATTTTCATCAAAAGTCATCTATATGATAAATTCAAGTGATATTAAGAAACTTCTTCGAACTAAACCTGACAAATATGTAATCAAGAATTACAACGCAAAAAGTCGTCAAGTCCACGCTGGTCAAAGTTCAGCTTACTAGCTGAAATTATCAATGAGAAAACTAATGAATTTAAAATTATTGATGGATTTGCAAGTTGTGAAGATTGCTTTATGACGTTCATGTTTCCTTTCGAATCTAAGGGTACAGGTACCAACAATCTTACAGATCATAACTGTTCAAACAAAGATGTGAATCAATCAACTCTTCCTGAAGTATGTTTTCATTTCTTCTCACCAATTTCAGCAGACAGTCAGACAGGATTATTTATTTTCGTTAGGTTATTCAAGAAAAAAATATTTCAGATACACATTGTACAGAACTAATTGATTCTATTGCTAACTGGTGCGTGACTAGCATGTGTCCATTTCACTGTGTTGAAGATCCATGTTTTATAATTGTGTCTCAGTTCTTGTTAGATATTGGTGCTCGATACGCACGATTACCTGTAGGAAAAGTAAGAGTAGAAAATATTTTGCCGTGTGCAAATACAGTCAAAAGACGTATTCAAACTCTTGTAGGCATTACTCGATCAGAAGTAGCAGCTCATTTAGCTGCTGCAGGTGCACGTGGTGAACTGGCGTTTAATCGAGATCTTTAGACAGATCGGTATAAAAAACACACACATCTGGGTATAAAAGGTTTTTTTCTTATGTTATAAAGCATATCTATCTTATATTGACAGGTATGACAGCTATTTTCGTTGAAGATTCTGTTATAAATACAATTGATTTGTGTTGTCGTGAGTTCCTATATCAGAAAAAATCGGCAGAGAATGTATCCAAATCAATTCACGCAATTCTGAACGAATTTAATATTCAACAGTATCGAAAATCAGCAATTTTCGTTATTGATCGTGGATCAAATTTGAAAGCAGTTCTTTCACAAGACCAAATCGTTCATTGTATCGTTCATTGCATACATAATATTCTTTTAGATACCTTCACATGTCAACAATCTATCCTAGGATAAAATTTTTAGACGTATTAAATTTTTCGATATAAATATAGTGCCTAAAGCCACCGTTGATAATACTCTCCAAACTACTAAAAAAAGAAAGAGACGAAAAGAGTCAGACGAAAGTGATTCGGGTGAGTTGAACAGTGAATTTGATGAACAATGCACCGGTCCATTACGTATAGTAGTTTTAACCATTAATGGATGTAAAAAAAAAAGGTTCGATATATCAGAAAGACAGGCTTAAATAGAAAAATACAAGAAAAAGGTGGTATATATCTTATTCAAGAAAATCAAACAACGTGGTTGTCATTACATGCGATGCTAAATAGCATTGATGGATCATATGACATTCTGATTACAATTCTCTCTGAAACGAATATGCTTCATCTTCTTACATCGATCGACTGAAAAGTACTTAAGGTAAGCACTATATTCCATTAAATTGTATTCGATACTCGTATGATTAGTCACAGAAATTTATTCATATTCGAAATCTCTGCATTATTTTATAGGATATCCTCTGGTTTCTTGAGCCATTTCGTCGGATAATCGTCGATCTTCAAACAAAGGATCACCCTACATTGCCTATGATGGTTCCCTCTGTTTGGTATTGAAAAGATGAACTAAAGATAACAACTGTTGACTCATCAATACTAGGTTTTTTAAAAAAAAAGTGTAGTGCCATTCTGGAGCAAAAAATAGAATTACAAGATATTCATTTTGCAGCTACTATGCTGAATCCAAGTTATCGTACTTTGCGACAGACAACGAAAGAAGAATAAACACGAGCACAAAAATATTTAAGAAAAAGATTAGAAGGTATTACTCAATCCGTTGCATCATTAGCACTTACGCATAGTGACAGTGATGATGATCATGACAATCGTGATTATGTTGCAAGATATGTAGATAATCCACCAATATCACGTAAACAAGATGAAGTATCTCTATATCTTAAATTTGACCATTGTGAAACAAACACATCTGATATACTTGAATTTTGGAAGATAATGACCGGTTTTTTTCATCTTCGGCCAAACTCGCATTCCAAATTTTCACAGTCCCAGCAACATCGACTAGCGTGGAACGTAGCTTTAATGCGGCTGGGCAAGTGATTTCCGAACGTCAATCAAACATTTCTCGGATGTAATTGATGATATTGGTTTTCTACGTTCAATCAAGAAAAACAAGTAAAAGAGAAGAAAAAAAATAAAAGGAAAAGAAAAGAAAAGAACATAAAACAAAATAAAATAATTTTAAATAGAATGCTGGACAAGACAAAACGCAACTTGTCAAAATAGAATACACATTGTTTTTTGTTTAAAATGAGTAAATTCTAATTAATTCTAAAAGATATATTTGCTAAAGCTTTGCTTGTATTAATCAGGAAATAATTGCCTTCGGATCGGGTCATGTCTTGAAAAAAATTCTTGTCCTCGGGTCGGGTTATAGTACAACCGGATCAGATCGGGTCAACAAAAAACACGGGTTGGTCACTAAAAAATTGACCCATGTCAAACACTAACACAGGTGAGATCAACATCATCAGTTGAAGGAAAATGGTGTCAAATTAAAAATTGAATATCTCAGTGACGACTTGAGCTACTGAAGTGCTCTTAGTAACAAAAGACTTGCTAACTTGAACACTTTTGAAATATGTATGTAAAATCAGAATTCAAAAAAAAATCGATTGAGCAGCTTTTTTGGTAAAAAGTCGTTTCTTAACTCAAAAGGCTCTTAAAGGTAAATTTTCCAACCAGAAAAAAACAACGTATGTTTTAAATATATCGTTGTGATTATTTTGCACATATTGTGATATGCATTGTTTTTTGTGTATTAGTATCGTATATAGCTGTGCGAATGATGGATTAGAGAACCAATAAAACTAATAAAATTTCGAGAATATGATTTGTCATCAGTAAAACAAATGAAATGATTAGTAAAAAAGCATAAAAATGATCATTGTCAATATTGGATGGTCAATACGATAATGATCAGTTTTTTTAATTGAAGTCTGTAAAAATTCAAACTTTGTTAATAAGAAATTCAAATTAAATTAGTAAAAAAATGCAGATTTTATTTGCACAAGAAATAATTTTTATTTGTATCATGATTAATTTAGTACAAGAAAAATAATTTAAATAAATAATAAAATCACAGAATAAATAACAAGAAATTCAAAAGTAGAATAAATAGAAATTCAAAGATGGAACGAAAAAAAAAGAACTGAAAGTTTAATTATTGCACTAACAGAGCAAATTAACTCTTTGCTGATTAACTTTTTCTTTTCACATCGAGCGACACTGCTTTTGCCGCTGATGTTGGCTTTCAGTACTTCAAACGAATGACAATACAAATAACGTGTTTAGATAAATAATTCTTAGAATAAAGCTGGACCATTGGATTTTGATTTTTTCCAGTTTGAATCCTTCATTTCGAAAACATTAATAATCAAGCGATTCTTTGACTCGAGTAAAATTTGTTCACTTCTTACTTTGGTATTAATCTAAACTCACTTGTATAATTGATTGCCAATCATGAGTTGGTATATCATTCGTTTTTGAAAACTTAGTCGAAATAAAAGTTAAACCTTTTGGTTGATTTACCCCATTGATATGTTAAAGTTCGTACTCGTGTAAAGATATTGTCCGTTTGGATATGAATATTTTTGG